TAAATGGTACGAATTAGATTGTACGAATTCATACGAATTAGCCACTAAATGAAAAAGTTATGAATTGCCGTGAGATTGTGTTGAAATACCACATTAAATACCACATTAGCATTTGCTTTCTGTACATAAAATACACTGAGGTGCATCTGAAATCGCATACTTCCCTACTATATAGTACGCTACAAACAGTATGTGAGCTGAGTAGTATGTCCGAATTTATAGAATTCGAAAAGCAGTATGTGATAAGTACCCGGATGACGTATTACTTCCAGCGAGATTCTGAAGTGCGCATCGGATGGACACTACACTATCCCAGGATGCATCGTGACAGACGTCATTGAATGGGAGTGAAGTGACGCAACTGACAGAACTGACAAAATGGTGGCTGTAGTTGTACGTCTGAATTACAGTCATACTACTGACATAGAACACACTTTCCCTACAGCCGAGTAGTATGTTTAAATTAAAACGCAGTACGCACTGAGTAGTAGACGATTTTGGACGCAGCCATGGTGTTTTATGCCGAGTTCAGACTGCATGATTTTCAAACTAGTCGTGTCACAGATGTTTCCACACTGCATGACTATCTGGGCTAGCGTTTCGTCGCTGCTTTGTTTACACTGCAAAATGGTTCGGCGACATGGACGTTCACATTGCATGACTTTACTATAGGGAGATTCGCCGACAACTTTGTCCAAACTACGTCTCACAGCCAAAAACATGTAGTATATCTTTTGTTATTAACTACATAACGAGAAAGAAGCCTTTAATGGGGTAGAACATGTACATGTTTGCTAACCCTGGTTTAAAGGGAATTAGCCATTTCTCCTCAACGTTGATAATAAACTAATTTCTTTCTGTATGAAACGTCAAACAGACACGGTTGCTCCTGAGTCCTGTCAAACCTCCACTAGTTTTCCCTCCATTTCGTGGGTCCAAATAAACCGAAAAAGACAGCTTTTAACTTCTCCCCCAGCCTCCCGCTGGCCTGCAGCAGGTACACACACGCACACACAAGTGAATGCTGCTCTCTCATTGGCTGTAGGCGATCGCTGATGTTATTTTCAGTCAAAACTCAATTCACACGGCGTGATTGGAATCGCCGACAGCTCCAGATATTTAGCATGCCAAATATCTCACAGGCATCGGCGACTCATCGGCGATTCTCTCAGATCGCGTCTTTGATCGTTCATACTGTGTGACTGTCACTCACGTGCACGAGCAGCGATTTGACTGTGATTTCAGGCATTTGTCGGCGATTTCTCAAAACCTGTCGGCGAGCCAAAATCGGGGCTAAAATCACGCAGTCTGAACTAGGCATTAGTGAAACAGTGAAAGAAAGGTTTTAGGACAGCACTTTTTTTTTTTTTTTGCAAAAATTCTAAACAAGTTTTACTACAAAAAAAAACGAAAAAAAAAAAAAACTAAACTAAAAACAAAACATGTTTTTTGTGGTAAACATAATGCTAATCATAATTTTATCCATAGTTAGCTTAGGTGCTTGTAGTAAAACTTTTACACTCTATTTACACTCTAAACTTTTCACACTATTATGAAACCTTACTTTACATTTCCATACAAACAAATGACTTTCTTAGACGACACAAGCTGTTGACGGTATTTTGATGGTCTGATCGTTACAAGCTGTTCTCACACTTACAGTAACGATAAAAAAAAACTACTTACAGGCTACATTAAAAAAAGAGATTTTCCCTTTAATTTATCTAATTTTGTCTGTTGACTTTCGTTTTGTGCAAGACAAATAGAAATTTGGCGTGAATAAGTAACCGTCATTTTTCTGTTGTATTCAAAATACGAATAATGGGTTCGTCATATATTTGTGAAATGTAGGCTGAATTTAAAATGAGATTGAAACAAGACTCATATTTTCGTGGAGGAAACATTTCTCAAGAGAACATGACTTTGTGATCTGTTCTCGATCGTTTGTTTTATGCATAACTTTATATCTAACTTTTGTTCAATAAAATCGTTGCATTGAAGACTATCACCTTACTTATGTTTTAGCTTCCTTTAAGGATTCAGGTCATAATTATGAAGCATTATAATTCGCACCCTGCATATAAAGCTATACTAATATAAAGCTTTCAACATATTTAGAGGAGACTGTCTTGAATATTAATTTTGACCTCCTTTGGGGGTTCATGTCGTAATTAGAGATCCTCGTAATTATCACTATGCATTTCATATATTTTTAAAACCCATACAGCTTTCAAAATATTTAAAGCGTACAGTCTTACATATTCATTCAAGATAGAATGTCAATATAAAGGATCCGAAAATACCCCTGGTTCTGTGTGCATCTTTTTTCACACACACACATACACACTCAAGGACGCACACACAAACCTCGATGACTCATTCAAACCGAAAACTGTTCACTTACGTTCATTCAAGTCAACTCTCTCTCCCCTCTGCGCAGACGCGAGCTACTAAATGCGTGACACTTGTCGCTGACCGTGCCTATATAAATGCAAACTCCAGCCTTGCTTTGAAGAAGTCCTAAAAGTAATAACTTGATAGGCAGCAACTAGAAGACAGACGCGCCGCGCAAAGTTCAAAAACCATCCAAGGATTTACCAATTACGCACAGGTACGCAACATCTTATCTGGAATATGACAGCTCATATTGAGGTATAGACCATTGGTAATGCTAAAATCTTAAACTGGTAATCTTTGTGCTAGTCAGTTTGTATTGCTATGGATGCGTCCTCGTGTTTTGCGCACAATGAGGCACCCAGCTATCCAACTTTTAAGGCGCGCGTAAATGCCCAAGTGGATTTAAAAATATGCATGCGATGCAATGCAATGCAAAAAAAAATTAACGCAAGTGTTCACTAAGGGCGCTTTGATTAAATTGCATCTGTCAAGGATTGAGCTCCGTCCCAGAGTGCGCAAAACAGTTGCCGAGAAGTTGAAATAGTGCGCATAATTGACTCACTTCTCCCGCAGATTCTCCTCGCCACTTTTTGACATGAAGCTCAATTTTCTCGTCACCACGGTGGCTCTGCTCGTTGCCTTTCCACCGCCGTATGAATGTAGAGCCATCGAGAGCAGCTCCAATCAGCCAGCCGCGGACCCCGATGGAGAGCGGCAGTCCCCGCCGGTTTTGGCACGCTTGGGGGAGGAGTACTTCATCCGGCTCGGCAACAGAAACCCGACTTCTCCCCGATCTCCAGCCGACAGCTTCCCCGAGACATCCCAGTATCCAAAAAGAGCGCTGCAGCTCCAGTTAACGCAGCGTCTGTTGGAGGGGAAAGTTGGAAACATCGGCCGCTTGGATGGCAGTTACGCGCTCCGGGCGCTCGACTCAATGGAGAGGGAGCGCAGGTCGGAGGAGCCGCCGATTTCCCTAGATCTGACCTTTCATCTGCTACGAGAAGTACTGGAGATGGCCAGAGCCGAGCAAATGGCCCAGCAAGCTCACAGCAACCGCAAAATGATGGAAATATTCGGGAAGTAACCACGAGCGAACCCATCAGCCAAAGATATTTTTACATTTAGCACAAACATGAATACTCTGTACCATAGTGCTGCTTTTCCATCATGATCTATTTATACCGGTGACTTGTTTTATTTGTAGATATCTCAAGGAAGGCGAATAGAGTGCAGTAGGTGTATATGAATCAAAGTGTTCAGAAGCGCAACACTGTCATCACTTTCCATCGATGTTATTGTATAAGTGATCATTCAGAACTGTAGATGAAAAACGTTTGGGTTTCCTTTAAAAAATAAAAAGACAATATTTTCCAGTACTGTATTATTTTATCTGACAGACTTGAGTCTCATTGTAACATACAGTACATTGTTTAAGTTTGTTAATAAACTAATGAGCAACCATTAATTTTTGTTGTGCAAGAGAATGTCTTATATTTATATTTTTCAATAAAACTTTGAAAGACAGTTTGACACCTCTTGTCTAAGATTATTGACATGAAAATGATTAAATCATGTTTAAAATATATACACTAGAGCATATTTCACAATCACCACGTTTACGTGTCAATGAAACTGAAAATAAATCGTGATGAGTGTTATTATGACAGAAGAATTATCCAGAGATGGTTGACATCTTGATTGCCTTTACCAGGGAGCATACCAGGATCATTCCTTCATAGTTGATATTCCCCCTTCAGATTGAATCCACACTTTTTAATAAACTCAAAAACAAATCATAAATGCATATACCTCCGGGTGTTGCACTTAAAACTGAATTATTAAATCAATATGCTCACTGATTCTCAATGACACTAATGTATTTAAAAATAAATAAATGAACAAAAAAAAGAGATAGATTTTTTTCTAGACTTGCCCTGTATATGAAGACATCATTCACTTTAGAGGCACCATTGATGTTCAAAATAAAGACGAAGAAAAAAAAATACGCCTATATATTATGAAAAATGTGACGGATTACCAAATGCACTAGAAACACTGGTGCTGAGTGAAACGTTTCACACTAAACCAAATACCTGACGTGTGGTGACTCATTCCATCAGCAACTGGAGAGATCTTTTCACTGAACCATGTCCTAAACTGAACGGGTGAAGCACATCTAAATAAGATCAATACTTCATATGTGAGCTAACAAGACACAAAACCTTACGTTTCATTCTGCACCACATAAGATCCATTCATTGCAGAAGGTGGAAGCCACACATGGTAAGAGTTGTGCTCCATGGGCCTCATTAAGTTGGTTGTAGCCATTTCTCTGTGTGAATCCAGCCACAGAAGCACATCCTGTCACTGATCACCCTCCACTGGGCCAGAATATATGGATTACGCAATGTCCTGGCATCGTTATTTCAGCTCGACCACCGAGATGTGTGAACACTTGTTTACTCTCGCCTACAAACCAGGGGAAGGCAACTCCGTGAGCATAAAAAAGATGTGGAGATTACTTCCACGCATTGCCACGGATGTTTCTTCAAGTAGATCAGTCATCTACTGTATACATGCATTAGTCCAAACTCAAGCACTGATTACATTACATGGGGGTACTCTTTTATTGTCATTGACGTTTAGAAATAGGAAATCCAGACAACATTTAAGGCAAAACGTATCATTCATAACTCAAATACCACTGCCGTGCCAACTGCGACGAAAATACCACGCGAACACTCCCTACGCAGTAAACAACACCACAAATCTTGGAAGGGTTTCCTAAGTCATCTATGTTTATATTTAGTCATCTACTGACTTTTCTTAAGTAGTCACTAAAACAAAAAAAATAGTTCCAGCATCTGGTAAAAGGGTCTGTTTTTTTAGGTGTCCATATTGTTGTGAACAGGTTGCAGTGATAATGATCAATATTTGTGTTGGCATGTGTACTTTAGTGAAGTTAGGATGATGCGGCGGGTCTGCGTGTGCTCAGGGTTTGTGGGGGCAGGAGTGGCGGTAGTGGTTCATTCAACTGGCCAAGTAAATCCACTTCTCCTGAAGCTGCTTCAACGCCCACCTCTTCCTCATCTTCCACCTCCTCTTCATCATCATCATCTGAAAAACAAATGACCGTTTAAAGGCACACTTCCGTTCCACTGAGCTTTCCCATTCGCCAGATGAATGTGCAGCATGTCATGCATGATGCTCTGTTCTAAAAATGCAATGTTCAAGTTCAACTTTGACTTTCCCATCCCATTGCCCGTTTAACCCCATCTGTACTACTCGGCCTACTCCAAGCCAATTTAAACAGGCATTTCCATGGCTCAACTAACAAGGTTTCTAAAGACTGCAGACTCTTACTAGTTTGTCTCTTAGGGTGTATTCACATTAGGCTATCTGAAAAGATAGGCTATTCTCATTAGGCTATGCCCGGGTGCATTTGACCCCTGTTTCCTGGTTTGTTTGAAATGTGTGAGTGCTCTGAATCACGCTTGTTCATATAGCTAATATTACCCTTCATAACAACTGTGAGGGGGGTGAATTTTTTTATAACTCATCCGTTTCCTTTATATTAGGCTATATTAAGTTTGCATAATTAAGGGCGTGGCTACTTTTGTGACAGCTAGGTCTCGCTGGTCGCTGTCACTTCACCTCAGCTGACTCCGGCAGATTAGCAACTGAACTCGGCATACACATCATATTTTTGTGTTGTTTTCTGTGGCTTTACACAGTCAGTTGCTTTTTGGACTCATTTCTTACAATTATCAGATGATATGAGATGCTGTGTGCACTTATTTGTGCTCACAAACCATTCACGTGGCCTCCGTTTCACATGCCAGTAAAGTTATATACTTATACACCATCTACTATACATGTATTTGTTTTATTTAAGATCATTTATCATTTATATTTCCATTTAGACCTGTAAAGCACTCCAGAATCTGACAGATTGATTAACTGTAGGCTCTGGAACCGTCATCTGAAGCGTTGTCATGCAGTGTTCATTCATTCATTCATTCATTCATTCATTCATTTTCTTGTCGGCTTAGTCCCTTTATTAATCCGGGGTCGCCACAGCGGAATGAACCGCCAACTTATCCAGCAAGTTTTTTACGCAACTTCCAGCCGCAACCCATCTCTGGGAAACATCCACACACACATTCACACACACACTTATACACTACGGACAATTTAGCCTACCCAATTCACCTGTACCGCATGTCATTGGACTGTGGGGGAAACCGGAGCACTCGGAGGAAACCCACGCGAAGGCAGGGAGAACATGCAAACTCCACACAGAAACGCCAACTGAGCCGAGGTTCGAACCAGCAACCCAGCGACCTTCTTGCTGTGAGGTGACAGTACTACCTACTGCGCCACTGTATCGCCCGTCATGCAGTGTTATGCCTGGATTTCATCAATAGACTTGCATTTGCTAACACAGACTATATCTGAAGTGTTTGGAAATAATTTGCATTTTCCTCCTGTAGAAAAACTTCATAAGAACAATGTTTAGTGGCTCAATGTGTTAAAGCAGTGTTTTTAAAAGTCTAAACACTTTATTGATATAGTGTACAGCCAAGCACATGTGGTCAGAATACAAACGAGTCGCAGGTAATGAAGTATTAAGTGTTTTCTCAAAGTAACGTCTGTCTAAGCCAGGTCCAAGCAAAATGCCAGCAGGTGTCTGTAGCTCCGGTCACTCTTCGCCTCTTTGCCCTTGTTTGGTATCCCGCCGTCTGTGCGATGACTCGCTAACAAAATGGCGACGGTTTGCCGCGCCTACTTGTGGCTTCTTTTGCAGTGTTCAGAAACCTATGGGTGACATCACGGGTACTACGTCCATATATTTTACAGTCTATGGTGTCACTGCATCAAAAATGACTTAAGATAATACAAAACAATATAACTAAAGCAATCTCCATTGTACTTATGTAACCCCGCCGGTCCTACTCCACCCAACTCGCTCTGAGCTGGTATCGAACCGACGACTTTCCGCATGGAATTGTGGTTGCTCTACCAAGGAGGCTAAAGGCCATGGCCTCTATTGTCTGTCGCTAGAGCACCTTTGGAGGTCAGAGGAGTGAGGTTTACCTGCACAGCACTTACTAGCTGGCCTTCGTAACACTGAGCAAGAGCGATTCTCTTCAAAACTGAACAGTTGCATCGTTAGTGACATTAAAATTCTCAGTCACGGAAGGAAAAAGTACAAATCTTGGCCGAGTGGAAGGGGAGAGGGGGGGATAACCGTGCCTAGTGTGAGTACATCCTTACTAATGGGGTTACACTTTCATTTGGATCATTGCATTTCTACATCTGCTCTCCCTTATCCAAGTGGGATTCGAAACAGTGAGTATCTTTACATGGTATCTTTACATCAATACTCAGATTTTAATAGGATTAAGACAATACTCTGATTAAGAGTCTACCATGTAAACAATGATTTTTGATTACCTTAATCCTACTGAAGTCGTAATCGAACTAAACAGAAATAGAAGACATGTGGAGTATTCCTATTTTAGTCGCAATATTAAAGTGTAGTACTGATGGGCAAACACCTCAATCAAACAGAAATTAACTGCAGTTAAGCTTGTTGTGAAATTAAAAACGAAACGTGATGATCATGAACTGTTCCGTGAAACACCAGAGAAAGTAGCATTGGCACTAAGACCACCACCTGTAACAGGTCTCTGGAGGGCAGAAAAATGATGTGTACTTGCATAGCCGCTCTAACTAGCTGACTTCAGTTACACTATCCCCTAAACCGCACTTCCATCTAGGCCACGGCACCATTGTAACACCTCAGGTTCTGCCTACTCTGCTTAAAGCAGAATGAGCGGTGGACACCCTAAAACAGATGCTAATAGAAGGATTGTTAACGTGCTTGCAGCCCATGCTGGAAATGCTGTTTCAAATCTTGCTTGAAGTGTGGTGAGTAGCAGAGAACTGGAGAGGTTACATTGGTGCTGTGACCAGAATGGGAGTAAGGTTTAGTGAGGTGAGTGTATCGAAGGCCTTTTATTAAGAGCTGCACAGGTAAACCTTGCTTCCCTTGGGCACAAAGTATGCGTTTGAGGTTACATCCATCCTTAAATGCCAGAAATGCTTAAATGGGTGAAGTGGAACTGAAGGAGTACAAAAGTCCTGCAAATGGGAGAGAGACCTTACTCCACTGACCTCAATCGATGTACTAGCATCAGTCACTGGTGCACCTGTAGAAGCCAGGGGACTTGTTTATCTGCACAGCTTATCCTAACTAGCCTCCATTTCACTCACCCCCCCTCAACCATACTGGTCAAGGCACCAAGTAAGCCCTCAGGTCCTACTTATCCTGCTTTGAGCAGGATGAAGGGGGTAAGCTAACATGACATGTCTTGTTGTAACATGCTTGTTTTCCAAGCTGGAAATTCTGTTTCAAATCCTGCTTGGAGTGGGGTGAGCAGAAGTAGAAGGTTTACTTTACTGCTGTAACCAATGGGAGAAAAGTTTATAGTTGTGACTGTAATGGAGACCCTTAGTAATGCAGGTAAAGCTCGCTTCCATGGCCTCAAGAAATTCATTAGCATCCTCACACCTGCAGCTTCTCCAGCAATGGACGTCCATCGTTCTCCAGCCTTCGGCGCCTCCACTGCAGCTCTCCACAAGAAGTTTGGCCAGAGGAGAAATGGTCGTGCCCTACTGACCCTGGTTTCTCTTGAGGTTTTGTCCTTCACTTTAGTCAACTGGTGAAGTTTGTTCCTCGCCACTGTCATCACTGGCCTGCTTGGTTTGGGACTTGTGGAGCTGTGCATCGAGGGATTTGCTCTTCGCTAAACTGAACCTCAACTCTGAAAACTGGACTGACACAGCTGCTTTGACACCATCTACATTGTAAAAGTGCTATAGAAATATAGTTGCCTGCCTTTCGTTCCAGAAGTGACAGTTTGAATCCCTTCCCAAGTGGGATGAGTAGAATTAGAGGGGTTATAGTGGTGCCATGACCCAGATGGAAGCCAGTTTTGGGAGAGGTAAGCATAATGGAGGTAAAACTGACTTCTCTGGTCTTAACTAAAGCACTAGCCTCGGTCACTAAAACCAGGGGAGTGTGGTTTTGATGACCTCCATTACTCCAAAACTGCACACCAATTCCAATAACCTAAATTATGAAAAATATATCACTTAAGGTATTGTGAATAATCTCAAATAGGCAGTCAAATCAGCCAATCAAAATGCATTCTGCTCTAATTCAAGCGTGACACACGATGCAACTGATAGGTCAAATAAATATCATTCTTGTTGTGAATGGACTTAAAAAGTGTAAAATCAAAAAGCTGCATTTTCTCAACCCACTTGAGTATAAAGATACCATCAACTCCACTATTCTGACAGTGTCTAACGCCACATTTCTGCTGGTTCTTTTTAAAAATTGGCTTACAAATTTGATTTAATATACTGAAAAGACGGCTGGCTTTTGAATTGGTTGCTCGAATCAAAATTTGAAAACATCTCAAGGACTTCTGAATGGAGCGTGAAAAGGTTACTTTCATGCAGTAATCAGTTCAACAAGCTAACCTGATTTAAACCCAAACATGTTGATAGCTGAAGCTTAATCAGGCATTTCAGGTGAAGTCATACCTCTGATGAAGTCAATATTGCGCAGGGCCCTGCCCTCTCTCTTGAAGTGTACAGAGTAATGATCCATGCTCTCATAGCCGCGCTCCACTCTCTCCAGGTGTGAGGTATTCGATGCCTTTGCAATTCTAACAAATAAGAAATCAATCTGGTGTATGTTCAACATGAAAAATACGCATTAAGGTTGCAGAAGGGATCGTCACTTACTTTTGCAGAAGGGGTTTAGCATTCTGTATGACGTAAGAGAGAAAGGGGTTATTTATTTTATGAGAGGATAACATAAAAAGTATGAGATTATATTTAAAATTTTTTCAGGGTTCCCACACATTTTTATGAATCAGTTTTCATGATTTTGTTAAATGGACTTCTGTGCCAGCATTTTGAATTAATGGAGTTCAACATATATGCTTTATAGCGTATTTATAACATAATATAACATTTTAGCATGTTTTCCCCTAAACAGCATTTATATATGATCTATCATAAAATATCAACTTTTTCTAAATTTCTGTTTAATGGAAAGGTTTTTTTCAACACATTTCTGACTATAATAATTTTAAAAACTCATTTTCAACAACTGATTTCTTTTTACCTTTGCCCTGTTGACAATAAAAAATATTTTACTAGATATTTTTCAAAATACTAGTATTCAGCTTAAAGAGTTTCTCTAGGTTAATTATGCAAGTTAGAGTAATTAGGAAAATTATTGTATAACAGTGGTTTGATCTGTAGACATTCAAAAAATATAGCTAAAGGGGGCCTATAATATTTACCTTAAAATTACCTTAAAAGTTTTTTATTATTATTATTAAAAAATGCTTTTATTCTAGCCAAAATAAAGCAAATAAGGCTTTCTCCCAAAGAAAAATATTATAGGAAATACAGTGAAAATTTTCTTGCGCTGTTAAACATAATTTGGGAAATATGTGAGAGAGAAAAAAGTACAGAAGGGCTAATAATCGTCACTTATTATTATTATAATTATTATTAATATTATTGTGGTAACCCTGTTTCTATAACCTATTGTAGGTTTACCGGACCTGTAAGAAAACAGCCATCTCTGGTTCTTCCAGTGTCTGTATTCCTGTCTCCATGATTTTGGTCATGAACTCCAAATAATCTCCATACTTCTTTGTGAGGCCACGTATGTAGTTCAGCTTCTCTTCCTGTTCGGAACTTACTTTCAGGTTCATCTCTCTCTTCCTTTCCTCAAGAATTGAGTACAAGTGGTCAAACCTTTCACACACCTTGGATTTCTGTCGTCGGCCATTTTCCTGGAAATATGTTTAAATATGAATTTAGTATAAAATGCAATTCAGTCACATTCATAAATGTACAGTTAGATATTTATATACATTACTATAAAAAGGTATAAGGTGTATTTTCTTTAAAAAATGGATGATAATAATTTAGGTTATTATGTAATTTGTTTACAAATATATTCTTTTGATCCCCTCTGTTCATCTATTCATCATTTTGACAAAATATTATGTAGCATCTGTTTTCAATAATAATGCAAAATATTTAAAGAGAATAACCTGCCATCACATGAACAAATTACATTGCAGCATATATGAAAATAGAATATGGTTATTTTAAAATGCAATAATATTACAATAATAACTATGTAATAACATATTAACTATATATATATATGTGTGTGTGTGTGTGTGTGTGTGTGTGTGTGTGTGTGTGTGTGTGTGTGTGTGTGTGTGTGTGTGTGTGTGTGTGTGTGTGTGTGTGTTTTGCATCAAATGATGTGCGTTAGAACCCTTAAAAACTCCCAACTATTACAAAATCTCCAACCAATCCTAAACCCTCGAGTGTTTATAGCATATAATCTTCCTTTTATTATAATCTGAGCATAAAATGATGCAGGAGAAAGCCACTTAATCTGCACGTGCAATGTTTTAAAATGTGTAACTGATTGACTATGGACTGCCAAAAGTTTAAGATTGATCTTTAGAACTTGTCTAAATCAATAGTTTGACTACCTGTTCCTTTTCTTCGACCGCATCTAACCCTTAACCTTGCGCACAATGACTTTCCGTCAGAGGAGCCATATGCTCAACAGAGACGGCTCATTTCTGCTTGCTTGTCAATCATGGATCCTCTGCGAACGCAACTGTGAGGTCTGGAGAGAGTCCAGCTTCCTGCCTGCCTGGCTCATTGATGCCAGAGCGTGTGGATCTTTTGTCAGAGGAAGCGTTGTTACGTTCCTCATCAATAATCCTGTTGTTCTGCCAGGCTTTGGGGAGGGAGAAGCCCCCACACAGGGTGACTAACCTCTATGGTTCTGCAGGTCTCCTCCAGTTGACTGATGATGCCTTGGATTCTGTCATTATTGCCCACCATCATTGCTATTCCATCCGAGAGCTCTGTCTGGAGATGAGGACGTGCGTAAGCATATTAACACACAACTGTAAAAATATATGCTGCGCCGACAAGCGCATGCATGCTGACGCAAATTCTGCCATACTTATGCACACAAAAATAAAGGGCCCAATTACGCCTTATTTACATCAAGTGACGCAACCTGTATAGGTCATGTGACAAATTTTATTCATACTAGCCATTCGAGATAATACCTACTTAGTATGCAATTTTTAATTGCACTGTATATCTTTATCAGCTTCGCATTATTTATTGTTTAAAAAGCATTTGCTTTGCAACTCTCTGTGTCTGAACATGCACATGACTTATGATAGAAACACATTTGTGACTGTTGACAAGAACATCAGTCATAACTGTAATTCTTTTATTGAATTGAGATTTATACACTATCTGACAGCTTTATTATTAAGCATTCCATACTTTGTTAGGATATATTTGTACCATATTTGAGGTATAACTATGTGTAAACCTTGAATCTGAGGGTCCAAAAAATCTAAATAAGGGGTCACCAACATAGTGCCCTGTTAGGGACTGTTCTAAAAATAGCTCACCACAGTGCCACTTACCAGTAAGTGCCACCTAATATTTTTGTAGCTATTCTTTTTAAATCACAATTGCATTGTGTAAATTTGAAAATGAAATAAAAAAAAAAAACTTAAAAATATTTCATATTAGCATCCACAGCAACGGTGCAGTAAAGGGGAGGAGAGGATTTGAAAACATGGCAAAAAAAAAAAACAGAAAAAAAACATAATTTTCAAAGTGAATATAGGAGGAAGAGTTCTTTTTGTAATTAATTTAGTGATGGCAAAGCACACAATATTGAAAGACATTTCAGAAAGTGTCACGCAAGCTAACATTACCATGCTAACTGCCCACCGGGCAGCGCACTACAAATGGAAAAAGGCTGGAAGGTTTGTGAAAACAGCAGTCTTTTTTTCACAAGAATGGTGAAACCCCCCCAAAAAGCAACTGAAGTCTCATTTAGAGCTACACATTTTTGATTAGAAAAACAAGGCATTTTCAGACAGGAAAGCAAAACTGTGCTTAAAGACTAATAAATATAGCCTCCACTCTCTCCGATGTCCAATTTGGGGCAACAACAATGGTTAGAAGAGTGTCGACTATGTTAAAAATGCTGTAGATTTGGTGATAATTTCAGTAAAATCTGAAAGTTGATTTCTGTTACACAATTGATAATCTGTACGAACATGGTACATTGTAGTGCATGGTTTGTTACAAAATGTTAGTGGCTAGTGAAAATATTGTAGAAGTGATCATTTGAATATGTAAATACTTTAGAGATTTATAGAAACAAAGTGTTGCATATAGATATTTCTGTTTCCTAGCTTGTTAAATCATTGTTGACAACTATTGTGAGAAATCATTTACATAATCAGTGTCTTCACATAGATGAATATTATTAATTATTGATAATAATCTATAATTAAAAGTAAATTGAGCAAATTTGTTATTTGACAAGTGTGTATCAATCTGGTAGCCCTTTACATTAATCAGTACCCAAGAAGTAACTCTCAATTTTAAAAAGGTTGGTGACCCCTGGTCTAAATAATGAGAAAATTGTCTAAATGAAGTGCTTGACAATGCATATTACTACTAATCTACACTACCTGACAAAAGTCTTGTCGTCGATCCCAGTTGTAAGAGCAACAAATATTAACTTGACTTGAAGTTGATCATTTGGAAAAGTGGCAGAAGGTAGATTTTTCAGATGAATCATCTGTTAAACTGCATCCCAATCATCTCAAATACTGCAGAAGACCTAATGGAACCTGCATGGACCCAAGATTCTTGCAGAAATCAGTCAAGTTTGGTGAAGAAAAAATCATGATTTGGGGTTACATTCAATATGGAAGCGTGTAAGAGATCTGCAGAGTGGATGGCAACATCAACAACCTGAGGTATCAAGACATTTGTGCTGCCCATTACATTACAAACCACAGGAGAGGGCAAATTCTCCAGCAACATGGCGCTCCTTTGCATACTTCCACATCAAAGTTCCTGAAATCAAAGAAGGTCAAGGTGTTCCAGGATTGGCCAGCCCAGTCACCAGACATGAACATTACTGAGCATGTCTGGGGTAAGATGAAGGAGGAGGCATTGAAGATGAATCCAAAGAATCTTGATGAACTTTGAGTCCTGCAGGAACGCTTTCTTTGCCTTTCCAGATGTCTTTGTTAATAAGTTATTGGAGTCATTGTAAAGATGTATGGATGCAGTCCTTCAAGCTCATGGGAGTTTTGGTAAAATAAGCGTAATTTAGAGGCCTTTGCCTTTCATTTAAGCCACCTCTGATACCCAATATCAACTACAAGTTATTATTTGTTGTTCCTAAAACTTGGATAAGCTTCAAGACGTTTGTCAAGTAGTGTAAGACTACTAAAAGTTTTGATAGACTTATAATAGGAAATTTACTAAATGTCTTCATGGAACATGATTTTGACTTAATATTCTATTGGTTTTTGGCATAAAAGATAAATCGTTAATTTTGACCCATACAGTGTATTTTTGGCTAATACCTAGTAATAAGTAAACCAGTGTAACTTAAGACTGTGTTGCAGGGTCAGATTTACATAAAACATTCCTCAGTACATCAAAAAATACATAAAAACAACGCTGTTGTTTCCTGTGCTGTTGTTTCATGTTTACTTTACTAAAGCAATCGAACATCTTTGATCCAATCACATTGTGATTGTGTGGTTTTCAACATCATTTAAAATCTTTAGGAAGTTCAACCAATAGAAAATAGATCTCATGTAGGTAAGGTGGGTTTAGGACCAATCAGGCTCTGTTTTACAGTAGAAACAGGCTTTGATTGGATTGATCACATCTCAATTTACAATTACAATTCACCAAAAAAATTAATGGAAAGTCAGCCCTCATCCAGCAAGATCTTATTAGTTTGTACTTATTCTTTAAACGTTTAACTATGTAGAATGTGATCATAAAAAAATGTGTTTCATTTTTTGCGTGGTCCGAATGAGTGTAACTTGTTTACATGCACAAAACTATAGCTATATTACACTTTAAACCCACATAGAAATTGTATATATGTTAATATATGCAAATTACATAAATGACAAAAAATTTAAATATTGTAAAAATGGTCATTTTCATATATATATATATATTTTTCAATCCTTGGAATTACATATATGTAAATTTGTTCAAATATATGAGCTATAATGAATAAATAATTATTAGATATTTAATTATATTAATTTTATATTATTATTAAAGTACATTATTATTATATACATACACATACATACATACATACATATATATATATATATATATATATATATATATATATATATATATATATATATATATATATCTCATATTATATTAATTCTTTTTCAAAATATATGTACATATTGTTATTCTAAATTCATATGGTTGAAAAATAAATATGTAAATGGACATTATTGCAATATTTTAAAATTTATATATTGCAAATTTATGAAATATAAATCCAAATATGAACTTGTGTCATGTACTGGTTATAATTTGCATATATTTCTATGTGTCAGATTTCTATATGATAAGAAAATCTAATATGTAAAAAAGCAATATGCATCAAAAAGCTACAGTTTTTACCTTTTGCGTCTGGTAAATACTGTCAAGAGGGGCCACTTGACAGTCCTTATGGGCGCCGAACACTTTACACATAGAACAAGTGGGGACGCCACAGGTCAGGCAGTATATGTTGATTTTCTCATCCTCATGAACCTCACACATCGGCTGGTCAACCTTTCTCTCAGGAGAAGGTCTGCTGCTGTGTAAAAAACAGATCTATGAGTATCAAACACTGAGTATGACAAAACAGATCAGTACTTTTCGAAGCCCTCGACTTTGGTTCAAATGTGGACAGGACTCCAGATCAACGGTTAATCAAAAAACTATAGAGTTCACAGGGCCGTATTGAGGGTCTATGATGTGTGTCAGTGTGTCTATGAGACTCAACTCTGACTAGTGGAACTAAAAATAAGTCTGCTGCCAGCTGACCGTCATCCTTAGCCTTCTGACCCATCTGAGTCACAGGTCTCGAGTCACATGGACATCTGTCTATTGCAGTACAATAACATCGGCTGCTTTAAAAGATAAACCTCCCAGCCAAAACAAGCTGTTTTGAGTTTATAAAGTGAAACGCTGAAGTGGGATGCAAAGTGGCGGGGCGGTGGAGAGTTTAATCGTTCAACCTTGGGGAATTTCAATCTTAAAAGCCTGTCTGTTCTCATTATGAGACTTTTCTTTCTTTTCTTTTTTTTGAAAAAAAAAAGTTTCTTCATGAACTTTACTGAATGGCTGGAGGATTATTCCACTGAAATAGGTGTATATTGAAGGTAAATTTAACCACAAAAAAAATTTAATAAATTAAAATGATCCTTTGGTAAATCATAATTCTAGCAAAAAAGTATAATAAATACTCATAATTCATCCAAATTATCCTAATTCATTACAATTTTTACTTTTTGTCATATCTTTTATGTAAATATTTATTATTTAAATTTATTATGGCTTTAGCTCTTAAATTTGACTTTTGATGTCACCATTTAAACTATTTAGGTTGACTTATTATGTAAATGATATAGGTTTGATCTATTTTTTATCTTTTTTTTTATCTTCAAATGTCACAATTACACACACACACACACACACACACACACACACACACACACACACACACATATGCTCAGCATAAATGATTTGAAAAAAATATTTTTTTTTAAATTAATTTCTCAAGGGAATATAGCTAATATATTTTGGTCCATTTAGCAAAACAGATTTATTAAACAGATATTAAAATAATATTTAGTCACTGACCATCTTTAAAATAAAAAGATAATATATTTAAATTCATGTAAAATTCATGTAAAATATTTAAAATATATATATATAAAAAACTAGAAGATTTTATATTTTCCTCTTTATTTCATCTTTTATTTAGGACAGTGGAGGTTACAGGCAAGAAATCATTGGGAGCAGAGAGCTGGGAAGGTTCGACAAAGGATCTCGAGCCGGGAATCGAACTTGGGTCGCCATGAGCACCAGGATGCTATATGTTGGCACACTTAACCACTAGTCTATTGGCACCAACGCTATTCTTATAAATTTGTCTATAATATTTATTCCTAATGTATTAAATTGGGCTACTTATTTTTTCATCTCAATAAAAATGATGTAATTGACCAGGTTCGCTACGTAATTGACGATCGTCTACACCAGTGGTTCTCAAACTTTTTTCATCAAGTACCACCTTAGAAAAAAACTGTCTCTCCAAGTACCACCAAAATGAGCAGCATTGAAATACAGTAGCGTAGTTGGCCCAGTAAAGCAGCTACAACTCTGCACAGTTAAAAAAACCTGGCAGATTACCTCGGAAATATAGCCTATATATAATATATGGCATATTATATACATCATTTTTAATAAATTTTGAATTATATGTAGCATGTACATGACATATTTCATTCCTCCGTGTACCACTAGAAGGAAGCCCGCGTACCACTAGTGGTACACGTACCACAGTTTGAGAACCACTGGTCTATACCTCTCCCTACCCTAAACCCAACCGCCACAGTAGCATGGGCAGTACCTTAGTGGGTGGTACAAGGTTCTTCACGTAGTTGACGATCCCATAAACCTCCCCTACCCTAAACCCAACTGTTATAGTAGCATGAGTGTTACATTAGTGGGCGGTACAAGGTCCGCTACATAGTGGATGATCGCCTACACCTCCCCTACCCTAAACCCAACCACCACAGTAGCATGGGCGCAACCTTAGTGGGCAGTACAAGATCTGCTTCGTAGTTGACGATCGCCTATGTCATTAAGCTGCGGGCTGCAGTGAGGACATCTTGCATTTTTAGCTATACATTTTGACTTTATATGTCAAATTAAATGGATCTCATTTTTTGAACAGTGATGACAAGTTGGTGACCAGTCTATTGTATAAATAAATAGAGTGAATGGTCTAATCTAGTTTATACTACATAGTTTGGGACACAACTGAAGTTTTTCACTGTAGTCAGACAAAACTGCTTCACGAATCTTTGCTGCATTTGCGAATGGTCACCATATGGAGCTTTTAGATTTTCCCTTCTCTGTCTAAATCATTTGTGATTTATTTATTTTTAGGTACTAAACACAAGGGATCTTGTAAAACCATATGGACATAATATTAGAGATTCCCAAAGCATTCGTTTTCCCAGATCTAACCTGATGTACTCCTGTTTGTACATGTCAATGATGTTTTCCACCAACAGGTTTCTCTGCAGGCCGTAAACCCCATGACGGTCCAGCACAACTTCATGTCTGCAGGATGGACACCTGAAACGGCCCCCTGATGTCACCGAGCCTCCTCTGATTGGAAGGTATGGATTTGAAGACTAGAAAGGTAGTGTGCATGGGACAGCAAAATAATAATCATTGTATTACTGGAGATATTATACAATTACTCATGTCTTAAGATAACCAATATTATAAATTATTAATTATTGTAATTTAGTTTTATGTTCATTTCAGCTATATTATGGCTTTATATACTAACTTTTATCACATAGTCTTGCCTTATTTTGGTGTTATTTCTCATAGTTATGCCTTTTATCTCAGTTTCACTTTATATAAATTTATGTCTCTTAATATTTATATTTGTGACAATTTTGCCTTTTGTAAATATAAATGATCTCTTAATTTACTTTTAATGGCAATTTTAACTTTTTATCTTTGTGATTTACCTTATCACAACTGGTATTATCATATAGTTAATAATATTTAATTTTATGTTATGATTTACAATTAATTACACTACAATTATATATATATATATATATATATATATATATATATATATATATATATATATATATATATATTTATATATATATATATACACACACACACATATATAATCATAAATAAATTAATTATGACTTATAATTTTGATTTGTCATTATTTTAGCTTAGCCTATTATTTACTTTTCAGCTTTTTTCATGACTGTAATTAAAATTAGCATATAGTTATGTCTACGTCAATTTTAAATTCAACGACTGAAGTTTTTGTTCAGTAATAAATCATGTTGACAAACCAAAAACATCGTAATAACTGTACCTGGAATATGTCATTAGCACATTTCCGGCAAAGATTGTGTTGACAGGGAAGAATCACAACCGGTTTCGTGAACATCTCCAGACAAATGGGACAAATAAGTTGCTTCTCCAAGCTGTCCATCCTGATCTGGCGAACAACGGCTCCAGTGAAGTTGAGAATGAGACCGTTTTGGTTCGCGAAAATTAAATTGTTCCAGTCCTCTGTCGCGGGGTGAAATCAGGCCCAAGCGCTTGTCTGTACCCTCTGTAATGAGACTGGCATTCCCGCACGCCAAGGCCCACTATCAGACAGCTCTGTTTTTAGAAAGCAGCACGTCAGAGGTTGCCATGTTTACTTGCCCATATATGAAACTAACGTTGGTTGACCCAATGCGAATCACAATAAACACAAGAAACTCGCAGAGATTCAAGATTAACTCGTTTAATATTTAACTTAATAAATTAAATGATCTTGCATACTCAATGCAAAATTGTTCAGCATAGCCAACCAAAAAAAAAAAAAAAAAAAGACTAAGGATTATAATAAAAAAAAAGTTAAAAAAAGATAAATAAATAAACAAACACTACCAGTCAAAAGTTTGGGGTCAGTACGACTTTTAAATGTAAAATAAGCTTATTCTGCATATATTTAATTAAAAATATAGAAAAAAAATTGTAAAATGTTATTGCAGTATAGAATAACTGTTCTAAAAAGTAAATAATTATCAAATCATTTTATTTAACTTTTTTCTTGAATGTAAAGATTATATATATATATATATATATGTATGTATGTATACACACACACATATATACCGCCCGCCCCCCCAATTGTTTTTTTAACAGAGAAGATTTTTTCACATATAAAATATAAAAATCTGATATATAGAAATATATGCATGTTATTATTATTCGCAAAAACAGATAGCTCCATTTTTTTGAGATATTACTAAAACTGGAGATGTTAGTGGTTTTCATAAATCATGTTTTTGCATTAAGTACGAAAGATTTCAATTGTAAAAAAAATATGTAAACAAAACATTTAAATGAGGGTGGTACTGTGGCTCAGTGGTTAGCACTGTCACTTCACAGCAAGATGGTCGCTGATTCAAGTCTTGGTTGGGTCAGTTTGCATTTGTGTGTGGAGTTTGCATGTTCTCCAAATGTTCATGTGGGTTTCCTCTAGGTGCTCCAGTTTCCCCCACAATCCAAAGACTGTGCTATTTAGGTGGGTTGAATAATCTAAATTGGCCATAGTGTGAGTGTGTGTGGGAATGAGTGTGTATGGGTGTTTCCCAGTACTGGGTTGCGTCTGAAAGGGTATCCGCTGTGTAAGAACATATCCTGGAATAGTTCATAGTTCCTGGAATAGCTTATATTGAGATATAAAATCAGAATTCTGAGATATAATGTTTTTGTGACTTTATACCACAGAGGTTTGACTTTTAATATCAGAATTCTGACTTTAAAAGTAACAATAAGGTTTAATTGTGCTAAATTTAAACAAACAAGTTGAACTTTACCAAATTACATTTGTTTAATTTCAGCCCATATAACAATAGTAAATCCAATTAATAATTTTTTCAGTGTACAGCGAACAACGTATGGTAATTAAGTTTCATATAATTATAATAAAAGAAGATATACCCTAGCTTGCTGTGCACAGCATTTGAAAAGGACATATTCCCTCAGTTCAGTGCTGGATTTGGCCAAAATGTCTCCTCAAAGACAGAGCAGTTCCAGCGATAAAGGAAGAAGCTGTGGATTCTGAGTCACAACATGTATTTTAATTTGTTAAAATTAATATTTTACAACCGTAGTTTCTAGTGTTAGCTGTATTACTGTTAACAATTTAGCTGCAAACAAATTCACATTTATCCACTAAACCCCAGTGAACACCCACAATCTTCACCAGCGCGTGCAACATCTCTCTATGCAGCTACTTTCCATGCGTTCTACATTTGAAATAATGAACTCATTCATTCATTAGTTTTCTTTTCAGCTTAGTCCCTTTATTAATCTGTAGTCGCCACAGCGGAATGAACCGCCAACTTATCCAGCATGTTTTATGCTGCGGATGCCCTTCCAGCTGTGACCCATCACTGGGGTCAATTTTAGCATACCCAGTTCACCTGTACTATGTCTTTGGATTTGTGGGGGAAACCGGAGCACCCGGAGGAAACCCACGCCAACACGGGGAGTACATGCAAACTCCACACAGAAATGGCAACTGATCCCGCCGAGGCTCGAACCAGCGAAGCGACACCGCGTCGCTCGCGAAATAATGAACTCGAGTTCGCCAAAGATATGAAGGTTTTCATCATATTCATGGTTGATTGTCGCCACCTATTGGCTCAATATTGTAATTGCTACAAGTTTGGAGTGACAAGCCGCTTTGTTTTAAACTGTGATTTTAATTTTTACCAAAAACATCAGTGTTTAAATAAACTGGTATCACATCACTTCTGTGCTATTTTAATGTTTGTAAATCAAAAATAACGTTATACTGGGTGAAAAATCTATTGAATCTCTCTGTCAAACGCAAATTTAAATGCGTTGCATCGGTTGATTATTTAAGATCCTTTATGTTAGATTGACACCCTGTGGTTGTACTAGTTATTACAGTTCAAGTTTAAAATATTTTTTTCACCCCGCCCCTCTGACGACGACTTCCACGCGATGCAAGTTGCCAGATAACTATCGAAGCATCGGATGTACACCGTAACTCACGCGACACGTGTTTTTAGGAGTTTATCGCCTGGCTATCGGTTTTATTTAAGATCTTCGTCAAAAGGACTTAAAAACCAACATGTGCAGCGTTTTTCGAAGTCGTTATTCCACACGTTTAATCCCTTAACAAAGGTTAGAGCTCTTCACCTATAAAATGGATTTGATTGGTGCGTGCCTTAGCTCAACACCTGGATGTCTTCTCCGACTCTCCCGTTACGGTTTCGGACCGGGGCCTGTTCCGGACTTTCAGATGCACCGCGGTTAGGCTAGTTTACCCTAAAAAATAACGCATAATACGGTTAAGATGGGGAAAACATTGGAGAATGCGGGCATCGATCCCGCTACCTCTCGCATGCTAAGCGAGCGCTCTACCATCTGAGCTAATTCCCCTTCATATTAGCATTTTGCTAACTAGTATGTATGGTAGCATCTGGACTCCCGCACGTGCAGTGTGTTGCCAGTCACTTGTCAAATTATAAACTTTTATTAGAGAATAATGTCAAACCTTCGTTTACACTTTCTTTGTTTTTATTTTTTTGTTAAATGCTAGCATGTTTGTATTTGTAGTAGTTTGTAAGTAAGTTAAGTAGCTAGTAAGTTTGAACATTAATCGTGAGTAACTTGTGGATGTTTTGTTGTCTATAACTTAGATCCTCTTTTTAAAACGCGTTAACCTTGGTTTTACTGCAAATAAACACAAATAGGTCTAACATATAAGTAGAATTTACCATGGCTTTGAAATGCTAATCATATTTTGTTAATCGTTCGTATTCGTAGTAAAGCTAAATGGTTACACTTATTGTATTTTCGAGTGCGTCATATAACGCACTTTTATTTGTGGCGAGGATTAACGTTATCATCAGTTGCGCAGACCTGCTGTATATTTGCTGGTTTACAGAAATCTGCATGTAAGTTGTCTTATTAATGTAATTTCTTAATGCTTGTAAGTTTTCTTATCTTGTTAAATTTGGAACAAAACGTTCCTTTTCTCTATCAGAACATCCGTGTGTTTAAGTAGAACATTCGGTTAACGTTACTTGTTTTTTTTACTGAAACTACGTGTCGCTATCAAATTAATCATAAATTGTGGTGATTTGTGAATAGTTAATACATTTTCTACACCCTCAACATATTACACTTTGTCTTTAAGGTAACCCTTTCTCCCAGAAACTTGCATGCGGTATATTTGATCGGGTTTTGGCTGTTGTAAACATTCGTGAAACAATGTAATGTTTTGGTCTTTTTGTTTCAAAAGCCAAGGATCGGTGACGCTGCATACGGGTTCCTTCGATAGCTCAGTTGGTAGAGCGGAGGACTGTAGAGGAAACACTGACATCCTTAGGTCGCTGGTTCGAATCCGGCTCGAAGGAAACTTAATTTTTCAATTTGAGTCGATTTAACTTATGTTTATGTTCGTCCTGGTTACTTTCTTTACAAAGAAGTATAGAGCAGAGCCATTACACTGATACTCTTCTGTTCTCATCTCTAAATCATCACATACATGTCATCATTTTCCACACAGTGCTTTAGCGTGTTCTTCTCTCCCATTATATATTTGAATATGTTTATAGAAAAAATGACATTTATCTGTCAAAACGAGGGGATTGTATTTTGAAATATGCATTAGGGAAGAAGGGCGTTGATCAATACAAAATGTAGGCATGTAACACAAGACACACATACAGTACTATACGTACTATAGATATACATACATTTCATTGACCTGGGAAGCCCAAACATTTTCTTATAAAGGGCCAAAAACCTAAATTGATTGAGGGCTGTGGGCTGAAGTTAAATATACCAAACCCTATAACAAACTTTTCCATGGGTAATTTCCTAATTGCTAATATTTAAAGATAACTAGAAAAATTTACTTTAAAATATATTCTTTAATTATGCACCATCATTTTTAACACATTATAATTTACCTATTAATGTAAAAACATGAACCCATATAGAACACAATGGAGTTCAATGCAGAATACACTAGTCAAGCTGCTCCTGTGTTTGTTTTGATTTGCTCACAGATGTCTTGTGTATTGTCCTCAATCTGTCAGCTGACAGTATTTACATTTTAAAAAGTCTGACTTATTTACATTGAATTAAAACTTTACATTTTTTGTAGCTCCTCAATTAAAGAAAGAAACTAAAGGTATGCTAAATTTCAAATGACAATATCTGTCAAAGGCAGTCGTCCCAGAAAACTCTATGATTTTCCCTCTCTTTTCAGATGAGATAAACCAAAGGTTATCATTGGCCAACTTTGACCTGGCCCTACTTTGGCCACCTCTGGCATAGACAGTTAAAATATATATATGTCTGAAATAGCCACTGCCATCTTGCACATATTTAAACACAAGCTCAGAATCATGACATCACAGCCAATTTCTATGACATCGAATAACTAACAAAACCCAAGCCCAATAGCCATAAGAAGAACTATATAAAATGACAAAGCATAACGGGAAAATGTATGTATTATTATGACCTTTACAGCTGCCAGTCACTTGGTTGCGATCAAAATATTTTGGCTCCACATGTTAAGCGAGGGCTGCATTTCAGTCCAATTTATGTCTTTTTATGTTTAGTTTTCACCGTTTTGTTGACTGATCTTTTCTCATTTTTCCTTTTATAAAGTAGAATGCAATTTAAAATGGTAGTGGGTATTCCTCCAAGGGGAAATGCTTAAAGTTTGAGTGTGTACCTAAAAGATCTGCTAATAATAAGAATTTCTAAACATTTTTAGACTTTTGCTTAGTTTTTTTTTACTGTTTAGAAGAATAATATCACCTCATTATACCCAAAGATATTTACAAATGATTACTATTTATAAGCAATTTTATTTGCATGAAAATTATGTATAGTTATAAAAGTGCAAATGCAATGTCGTTTATAACCGTTGTTAAAGGTACAGAAATATCTTTACTATTTATTATGACTAGTCACTAGGTTGTGATCAAAATAAAAGACATTTCAGGATTTACATGTACTTGTTGTTAATCAAGGATTGCTTTCCAGTTCAATTTTTGTCTTTTTTATGTTAAGTTTTCACCATTTCATTGACTCTGATCTTTTCTCATTCACTTAATAAAGTGGAATGCACTTTAAAATGGTGGTGGGTATGCCTCGCAGGGGAAGTGCTCAAGAAAGTTTGCAAGTGCGTACCTAAAAGATCTGCTAATAATAAGCCTTTGTAAACATTTTTAGACTTTTGCTTAGTTTTTCACTGTTTAGAAGAATAAGATCACCACATTATACTCATAGATATTTACAAATTATTATATTTAACGTGAATTTATAAACAAATTTTCTTTTGCATGAAGAATATGTAGAGTTATAAAAGTGTAAATACAATGTCATTTATAACCATTGATAAAGGTACAGAAATATCTTTATTATTTATTATGACCAGTCACTAGGTTGTGATCAAAATAAAAGACATTTCAAGATTAGGGATGGGACGATAATCGTTTTTAAGGTATATCGCGGTTTGAAAAAGTCAAGGTTTTAAAACTGGCAAAATTTTCTGCAATACCGTTCCTGAGGTACGTGTAAGATTTTTATTTTACATTTATTTGTTTTTTAGGGCAACAGTATCTTCAGCAGAAAAAATATCCAAAGATGCCATTTTAAATTGTAAAGAAATCTGGGTTTTTTGAAACTTAGGAAAACAGCAGTCAATGATTCATTTAAATTATTGAGCCTTACATGTTTACTGCTCTAAAATATTTTAAATCTTTCAAAAAATAAAATATATTTTTTCCAAGGGGGATTTTTTTATTTTTTTACCCAGACATTTAAAAAGAATATATTTTAAGTAATAAGTAATCACAATACCGTGATAACGTGAAACATTTATATCCAAGGTTATCATACTGTCAGAATCTTATACCGGCCCATGCCTATTCAGGATTTACTTGTTGTTAATGGTTAAGGGCTGCTTTCCAGTTCAGTTTTTCACTTTTTTTATGTTAAGTTTTCACCGTTTCATTTGCTCTGATCTTTTCTCATTCCCTTAATAAACTGGAATCCACTTTAAAATAGTGGTAGATATTCCTCCCAGGGGAAGTGCTCAAAAAAGTTTGCGAGTGCGTACCTAATGAATTTGTAAACATTTTTAGACTTTTGACTTGCTTTTAGTTACTGTTTAGAAGAATAATATCATCTCATTATACCCATAGATATTTACAAATCATTATTGTATTTTTAGAGTGAATTCATAAACCATTTTATTTGCATGAAGACTATGTATAGTTATAGAAGTGCAAATACAATGTAATTTTTAACCAATGTATAGTCTTTATGGACAGCTAGCGTTTTAAAGACAGTTTACCAGAAGCCCTTGGGCTGCCTGGCTAAAAATTCCTTGTGCATATAGCCTATTATACAGAAATATGTGATTTCCAATACTGTCTTATCATCTAAACTAAAGAAATGATCACTCAGCTTGATCACATTATCTTCTTTTAATTGCACATTAAGCATAAGACAAATATAATATCTGTTATTTACAAACAGCATGGTTAAACAAAGCTTAAGAAATTGAGTAATTTTTGTTTTCTCAGTCCTAACACAAGCAGTATACTGTAAAAGACATCAATATGCTCAAAATTGCTCAGAATTTTTAAATCAGTATTTATCTTGACTCCTTTGCTTTTAGGTGTATGATCTGTGTCCATCACCGATCAGCTGGGTCTTCTCACTTGCATTGGTTGGCTGCAGCACAATCGGAGTGTCACCATCTGGAAAAGCAGAATCACAGGTAAAAGAGGTCACGTATGATCAATATGGAATAAACAAGAGGTTAGTCCACCTAATGGCATGCCATTTCACATTCCTAATTGAACTTCCTGCTGAAGTGAAAAGTGTTTTGTATGCTCCAAGGACGTCCCAGCAATCTGCCGTTAGCCTGCCCCTGCTGGCTGCACTTTTATGACCTCATTGAGCTGGCTCTGTATCGCTGCTTTGAAGGGCAGCCCACTGTCCACTGGCTTACCTAGTGCTCAGAGAGTTTCTGATTCTAAGCTCGCGAGGTAAAAACACAGGTTCAATGTAGTTGTTTTTGTAGCCATGCAATAGAAGAACCATTTCTGGAAACAGTTCTTTTAAAAAACAATGTTATTTATTAACAATTCCTGACTTTTATTAAATCTGCTTCACACATCTTAAAAAAAGTGAAGCCAAAATAATATCATTACCCCCTGGTGGTTGGCTGCAGTATATGTCATAAAATCTGCCCTCTGCATGTAAATGCATTAACTTGAATGGAATACTGTTTTTGGGTCCAAGCTGTTTCTCATTTGAACTGAGAAAATATTTGTTTATGACCTCTATTGGTCATAAAAAGTAACACAATAAAGTGAATTGTATATAAAATCATGGCTTACAAAACATTCTCTGAACCTGCTGCTTTAGACACCAATATTTTAACAATCTCTGAAAAATTAATCACTTTCTTGCTATCAGGCATTTAAGGCGTGGGTGATTGTGATTTTATTTTATTTTTTTGCCTTGAAAACGTTTATTATTACCATTTTTTTAGTCTCCCCATACAGTTTAGTAGAGCGATTGGACCCAGAAGCTGCTTTGCGTGACATTACAATACACTTAACAAGCGGATAGGATCGGAGTCGAAATGAATCAAATCTAGTTGAATTGCGTTAAAAAAATCCTGATGAATACCTTCTTTCTAGGCTTATGTTATTATAACAGTGACACATGTTCAAGTGTTTGTTTTTGTAATAAATTAGCTTTAAGTTAATTTAATGAAACATCTTACCAAGTCAATGAGAATAGTTTATATAAAAAAGTTTAAAATTGGGGAAAAAAACAAATGTATTGACATTATGACTATTAGTACTGAGTAACTATTGAAACATTTACTTATAATCTGAATTTTCTATAAAATAAAAGAATAACTATAAATTAAAATGACGTTTGACTTATTAATGTAGCTATTTAACAGATTTTCTTTTCATTTTTTTCATTAGTTTTTTAGTTAGTTCGATACATTGTAGTTAGTTAATTTAGTAATAATGACAACAATTGGACGTGTTTCCCCCAATTTGTTGATATTAATGAAGTAATGCACATACAGAATATAAATGTTAGGCCTTGCTTATGTCAGCGTAAGTACATATAAAGTAGCATATATGCTACCTGATAAAAGACTTGTCGCTTATCCAAGTTTTAGGAACAACGAATAATAACTTGTCTTTTAGCTGATACTTTGGTATCAGAAGTGGCTTATCTGAAAGGCACAGGCCTCTAGATTACAATTATTTTACCAAAATAAAAATATTATCATGCCTTACTAAATTAGGACAGTAAGGTCTAACTTTGCTTAGACAAAAGTCTTGTCACTTAACAGAAGTAATGTACAGTATAGAATATAAAGCCATTGTGCAGTGGAAAAATAATTAATATTGTGTATGACTCCCATGAGGTTGGAGGACTGCATCCATACATCTCTGCCATGACTCAAATATCTTATTAATAATAAAGCGTTCTTGCAGGACTCCCAGAGCACATCAAGATTCTTTGGATTCATCTTCAATGCCTTCTTCTTCATCTTACCCCAGTCATGCTCAATAATTTTCATGTCTGGCGACTTGGCTGGCCAATACTGGAACACCTTGACCTTCTTTGCTTTCAGGAACTTTGATGTGGAGGCTGTAGTATAAGAAGGAGCGCTATCCTGCTAAATAAGAATTTGCCCTCTCCTGTGGTTTGTAATGTAATGGGCAACACAAATGTCTTGATACCTCAGGCTGTTGATGTTGCCATCCACTCTTCAGATCTCTTACACGCTTCCATACTGAATGTAACCCCAAACCATGATTTTTCCTTCAAACTTGACTGGTTTCTGTGAATATCTTGTGTCCATGCGGGTTCTATTAGGTCTTGTGCGGTATTTGAGATGAATGGGATGCAGTCCATCTGAAAAATCTACCTTCTGCCACTTTTTTAAATGATCAACTAGAAGTCTAGTTATTATATGTTGCTTTTACTACTGAGATCGACGACAAGACTTTTGTCAGGTAGTGTATGTATGTATATACACACACATTGCCAAGAATTAGTGTAGGTAAAATGTGTCTACAGCTAACTAAGCTAAAGTATTAAACAAGTAAAAGCACACTAACCTAATTAATAGAAAAAAAAAACTGGATCATGTTTGCGTTATGTTCTCAGCTTGGCAAGGTGAATGCGAGTCAACTTAAATGGAAGCGCGAGTCAACTTTGATTCATCCTCTGTATATTTTTAGATTGGCAGGTTCTAATGTGACACAAAACAAGGCATTTCTTGTCAGCACAGCCTTTCAAATGCAGCGACAGAAACCATTGTTTATTTTTATTGTGAGAATGCTATAAAAAACTTGTATGCAAACACACTTTGAGAACTGAGTCAGACTGTAATTATCACTTTTGTGAGGGACTGCAGCAAAAAAAAAAAAAAGACTCCTACAGCTCACTGGCAGAAGAACGGTGTATTATATCCAAACATCTGGCTCAGAAGTATCAGCTGTTTATTTTTATATGTAGGGAGTCTTATTGTTACATTGGTTAAAAGCATTGTTACACAACTGATAAGCTGAGATCCGCTACATTAAAACCTGTTGTTTGATTTTTTTTTTTTAAATTTCTCTTAATTTTTTTATTAGAAAAATGACGAATCTACTTTTAAAAACAAATTACGAAGATTTAATTGCGTAATATGTAATATTTAAATCTTCAAGTTTAAGTATGGGCGACGCGGTGGCGCAGTAGGTAGTGCTGTCGCCTCACAGCAAGAAGGTAGCTGGTTCGAGCCTCAGCTGGGTCAGTTGGTGTTTCTATGTGGAGTTTGCATGTTCTCCCAGCGTTCGTGTGGGTTTCCTCCTGGTGCTCTGCATTTCCCTCACTGTCTAAAGACATGGGGTACAGGTGAATCGGGTAGGCTAAACTGTCCGTAGTGTATGTGTGTGAATGAGTGTGTGGATGTCATCCCAGAGATGGGTTGTGGCTTGAAGGCCATCCGCTGCATAAAACGTGCTGGATAAGTTGTCGGTTCATTCCGCTGTGGCGACCAATTTTGAACATATATATTATTAGCAGAATTAGCAAATTTTGAATGCTGAAAAGTACAGACAGGTTTTAATTTGTCATGTAATTCCTACTAGAAAGCACCTAATCTAATAGTTTTATTTGTCAGCATGATAATGATCCCAAACACAGTGCTAATTTAATCTAATTTAATGAAATCTTATTTGGAGAGTATTTGATGAAACAAAGACAGTCATGAAATTGCCTCCACGGAGTCCAGACCTGAATATTATATACAGTATGTGTATGCAAAAATTATTTCATCATTTTATGTCTCTTTTAACAATTTACATCAACTTTTTTTTGACTGAGGCCATGTCAGTAGTGAATATTACAGTGAGACAGTGATGGGATTTACATTACTGTGCAAAAGTCTTAGGCCCCCAGTTACATTTGATGTATTAGTGAGGGTATAATGACATTATATATTACTGTTAATTCACTTTATTAAAGTGCAACCAGAAAATGCATATTCAAGTTCACGTTATCAGGTCTCACTAATTAAGTCATATTAAAAAAAAGTGTTTCTGTCTTCTGCATTTCTGCCAGAGCTGTTATCTGAATGGATGGGTTTGCGAATGATGAAAAGTACAGACCGGTTTCAGTTGGTCATGTAATTCATGCTGGAACTAATTTGTATTAGTTTTGTTTTTCAACATGATAATGATCCCTAACACACTGCTAATGTAATAAAATCATATTCAGAGAGAAAAACAGCTGATGAAACAAACAGACAGTCATGAATAATTAGTCCAGACCTGAATATTATATACAGTATATATCTATAGGCAAAATTAAAAAGCATTATATATATATATGTATGTATATATGTATATATATATATGTATGTATATATGTGTATATGTGTGTGCGCGTGTGTGTGTGTGTGTGTGTGTGTGTGTGTGTGTATATACATACATATTTGTGTGTGTGTGTGTGTGTGTATAAAGAAAATTAGAACATGCTAAATCTAAGGAAGAACTCTTCGAAATTCTGAAAGATGCTTGAAATTAAATAACACAAATACTTAACAAAAAATGCAGTATGGTTGCTTGGTGCTGAAGTGGTTACGCTAAACACAGACTTTTAATGCTAGTCTTTTGATTTCAAAAATCATTTTGTTCTGAATATTGTGTATATATTTCCCATATTTTCTGTTTGTATATAAAAGGTGTAATTCACCCAAGCGACCCTGCACTTGCTCTATTCCTTTTAGATAGATAGATTTGTGCAAAAGTCTTAGGCTCCCTAGTCCCAAAGCTGGTGGTGGCCTAAGGCTTTTGCATAGTACTGTAGATGTTTACCTCTCTCATTGTCCGTACGTATCTGCTCCTCCAGGTCTTCAGGAGACACGTAGACCTCTGGATCCTCTTCTCCAGGTGTGTGCGGTTTGCACTTTCCACAACAGCAGTTGAAACAGCAGCACAGACAACAGCAGAAATAGCAACCTGTCAGCAAGCCGCAAATAGCAAACAGACCCTATAAATGAAAAGGTACGCAATCAGAAAGGCACACAGCATTGGATACAAATACATTCACAATTTATATGCAGTAGTCCACATTTAAAGTAAAGAAAACTAAATTAAAAATTCTAATTTGTCCTAAGAAAATTGACTTTGATGAAAGGTTTTGATTCACTTGTTGACTATTAGGAGTCTCTAATCACGTTTTGTATATATTTTTATATACAGTTATATAGTTAAAAATGAGTAGTTATATAATAACATATATATATATATATATATATATATATATATATATATATATATATATATATATAAAATTTAAGTATATTATTATATATTAGTTGTTATAATACAGCAGTTATATAAATTAATAGGTCAATATTGATTTTATATTTAATATACTTTTGTTATAATCTAAATAATGAAATACTTTCAAGTATATCAAGAAAAACAATTATATTCCTAAAAATAAAATAAAGCATGATAAAATATGCTTCAAAATATATGTTTTAGATAAACAGGGTTATAGTTAATTCATTCGTAAACCCTAAAACCAAAATAATTCAAATAAATTAACATCAACATTAAAAATAAAATTATTAATGTATAAAAGATCAAAATATTTTTATTTTCATTTAGTTAGGATGAAACTATAATTACTAAAATAAGTGCTGAATCAGAAATAATATAAATGACAGTTGTTTTACTAGCATGTTAACTTAATAAACATCAACTAACTGAAATAAAGATTAAATAAAGGCTGAAATAATAATCAAAACAATATAAACATTAAAAAATGTAACAAATATAAACTAATAATATAAACAAAAATATGCTCAATATAACTTGATTTATAATATAGCTTTTAGTGACTTTATTCAAACAACATGTAAAAAATAAAAACATTTATTGTTAGTAGTTAAAAGCAACAATAATAATAATAATAAAAGCAATATTTACTGTAACTAATAATACTGTTTTATGTGGGAGACTAATATAATTCAAATGATTTAATGTGTCAGGTCATATAAAAATTATTTGTTAAAGTGCAATATTTCCACTGTGTAGGAAAAAGAGTGATAGTGCACCTTCGCCCACCAGCTGGAGAGCATGAAGTACGTGTTGACGTTCTCTTCTCCAAACTGCTGCGACACATACAGACCCAGAGAGCCGTACTTGTCATAAATGTTCCTCTTAGTGACGTCAGAGAGCACCGCATGCGCATTGTTTAGCTCTTTGAATTTGTCAGTGGCGTCAGGGTTCTCTGGGTTCTTGTCAGGATGATATTTTAAAGCCAGTTTCCTAGAAAAAATAAATAAAAAATAGGCGAGGACATTTTTAAGATGAAGAAAAATCCACTGCAAAACAGGATGAAGATCTTACTGGAGGCTTGATTTTTAAAAAACTTTTTTACCCCTGATATGATATGTAATGTCATGCAGTGTCCTCAGAAATGCAAAATCCATTCCAGCTCGTGTAATTTGACTTTTTTTGTTTGCCTAATTAAATTGACCAAGAAAAGCAATTAGTTTAAAAAGGAAAAATAAATAAATCCTCATACTACATGCAATGTGGAAAATAAGTATTCAAAACGGCCCTTTACTGACAGCCATGTGTGTGGATCTGGTCAAAAATATGGCAAAAAGTTCTACATGAGGGTGTTTACTCATCGCTGTGTTTACTTTAATAATGGCACTAATATATGCATACTCTACATTTCTTAATTCCATTTTTGTTTAGTTCAGTTTTTACTTTAGTCAGATTAAGGTGATCAAAAATCCCTGTTTTGAGCTTATGTAGGCCTACAGTGCAAAATTCATGTTTAACTGAATAAACAGTAAACACAAGTACATCTTATTGAACATAGTTTATTTTCATCACCAATTATCATAGCAGAACAGTTTCTCAAGCAGTTTGTGATGCATTTTGGAAACAGGAGATGAGCCCCTGGATTAATGCGCCACCTGGCTTGAGAAACCTGTTCTCAAAGACTTTTTATTTGGGTAGCACACATTCTGGAATGCCTTCGGCATAATTCAAAAGAACCCATTTTAATATAGATTTATCTAGATTAATTCAGAGATGAATCTAGATTAAAAAAATTAATCTATGCCCACCCATTTTATATGTATATATATATATATTTTGATTGGATACAAAACAGATGTTTTCCAATGACTTGTCTTAATTAACCAAACTCGTCTAGTTAACCCACATACATACATACATACATACATACATACATACATACAGTCTTATGAAAAAACTTGGGCACCCCTCTGTGGCTGCACAATAATGTGCTCTTTAACTCATTAGCAAGAGAAGATCGCAGTGAAATGCCATTCTGTGTTTTAAAAATAAGCTAGATAATGTCATGTTTTTCAGACAGAAATATGTAGTGTAGCAGTTTTGTGGAATTAATAAGTGTGTGAAATTTAAATTAAACTGAAAAATAGGTGATTGATTTAAGTGACCCAGTGAACCTTAACAATCCTAACACAGGTGCAACCCATCATGAATAAGGATATTTAAGACAGCTGATTGCTAGTTGTGTTTCTCCTTATTGTGAACCTGATAGCAACATGGGAACCTCAAAAGAACTTCCTAATGAACTAAAAACTAGGATAATTCATCAATATGAATTAGAAGGAGAAAAAGCTATCACAAAGGTTTAAAGTCTCCTATCTCTACAGTCAGAAATATAGTAAGAAAATGGAAGGCCACAGGAACCGTTCTTGTGAAGGAAAGATGTGCTAGACCAAGAAAAATATTTGAAAGGCAAAGGCAAAGTATGGTTATTATGGTCACAGACAAACCACAGACCACCTCCAAAGAGCTCCAGGAACATCTTGCTGCTAATAATGTCATTGTAGATCATTCCACAGTTCAGTGCACTCATCACAAAGAACAGCTCAGAAGAGTCGTTTGATGTATGCTAAGGCTCATCTGAACAAGCCTGAATCATTTTGATGCCACAGGTGCCACAACCATAGGCGCTTTGAATGGTGGAGAAAGAATACAGCATTCCAGGAGAAGTATCTGATTCCTACTGTAAAATATGATGAGGACTTTATCATTCACAGGCACTAGAAACTAGGGGTGTCAAAATTAATTGTTTCTTTGGTGCATCATGATGCAGTCGCGGACAATTCGGTAACGGTTTAGTAATAATCATAACCGGTTATTGTGTATTGACGTCATTTATCTCATATGTGCTATAGCAAGGGAAGCGAGCGCGAGTATTTACAATGCTCTAACTACTTAAATCTCAGAAACTGTGCACAATTTCACTGCGTGTGTGTTTGCTGGATCAGTCTTTCGCTTAAACTTACAGCAGAAGCCCCTTTTCACTGTGATTGAGAATGAAAGCACTCCATTTATCTTTCTCTCCCTCTCTCTCTCTCTCTCTCTCACACACACACACACACACTGTGGCCCATTTGACCTACTGGTGTGAATTTTCTTCTCCTCTCGGCTGTTTTACAGCAATATTTCTGAATACAGACATGAGCGCGTGGCTGCAGAGTTTTCTCCACAGTGTCTATCATGGATCAGCTGCGATCACCGATTTCGCTTGCCGCTTATCAGTACCACTCATGTGTGAAGAGCGCAGCACACAAGAGCCAATCGCAGCCGTTTAGTTTCTGTGAAGAAAATATAAAACTGTGTATGGAAAGCATCGTCAATGCGCCGTGATGCAACAAGATATTGAATTGAACCGAATCGATGGCATAATAATCGTAACCGAACCTAACCGTGAGACCAGTGTAGGTTCACTGCTCTTCTAGAAACCTTGTCAGAGTTAAAGGGTGCATGGATTCCACACAGTATCAGCAGATTCTGAAGAACAATGTTCAGGACTTAAGAGGCTGAAGTTACAGCAGGATTGGATGTTTTAGCAGAACAGTGACCCAAAGCACAGTTCCAGATCTACCATGGAATTCATGCTCAGACACAATACAATGTACTAGAATGGCCATCCCAGTCCCCAGACTTGAACATCATTGAAAATCTATGGGTTGATTTGAAAAGAGCCATTCATGCTTGGCACCAATCAAATCTGACTGAACTGGAGAAATTGTGCAAGGAAGAATGTTCAGCAAGAATTCAGGCACTTATCCTTGACTATAATAAGCATCTACATGCTGTTATTTCAGCGAACGGTAGCTGTATAAAGATTAATGTAATTATTCTGTTGGGGTGCCCAAATTTTTGCACCTGTCTGTTTTTGTATTGCATTGCATCTGTTGATTAAATAAATATTATGTCTGAACAGAAATGTTGCTTTTACACTGGGTTATAAATATATATCCAAATAAAATTGCTCATTTGAAAGGCTATGGCTTGCAATTCTGAAAATTATCAGGAGTGGCCAAACTTTTGCATACGACTGTATGTGTGTATGCATGTACGCATGTGTGTGTATACAATGTATACTTGATATCTCCCATCAATTTTGGAAATTTTATTGTCTTAAATTTAAACTTTATTTTGAAGGTCGAAACTAAATTCCTTTAGATTCCAAAAATACCTCACTTTTAGCATATATTTTAAATATATTTTAGCCAGAAAAAGTATACATATTTTTTGGACGGGCACAGTGAGAGGCGACTCATTAACATGTGGCGCTCTAAAACGCTGTCTGTCTGTTTGATGATCTCAGCAGGGTGTGACTTTTAGCGGCTCGCTGTCTTCTGCGCTCGCTGCTTGACCTGTCTGTGTGTCGGCAAGACCGCAGACCCCATTAGTGCCTCCGAAAGCTCCTCGGCACACGAGAGGAACGTCACCGAATCTGACATTTTTCCCATTAGAAGCAGCAGTGCATTGCAAACGTCTCTGTCTCTGACTCTCAGTTCAGGTCTGCGCTCTCAATGAATGCCAGCTTGTCCAAACTCTCTGCGCAAAGCAATAAGGAAGAGTTTGACATTTTATAAAGCTGTGAAATGCAATATCCCTAACCTCAGAATGGTTGTGGATGATCGGATATCAAACCATAAATATTTATAGTATTTTGTCAAAAGACATTGGGAGGAGTATAAATCTATTTTTGCTTTATAGGTAAGATGCTGCAGATAAATAGGGAGAAAGTTAAACTAATAGTTATTCTTTCCTTGTCAATTAAGTGCATTAATACTTGCAAATATGTTTTTGTTTTGCAAGATTTAAAAAAAACATGTTTTTAATATGCAAATGAGGTATTTTTAGTTAAAAATTAGCCAATTTGCATACAATTCCAGCACAAATATCTGACCAGTGGATAAAGTGAGGCTCAAAATTGTATTTTGACATTTTTTAATATCAAAATTTTCGACACATTAAATCAAAGAGATATTTTGGGATTTTTTATTACTCTGTAATTCAAAATGTATATATAATCAGTGAATTAATATATCAAAATATTCCTTTACAATGCAGTTTAAAAACAGCTGATGAAACAAAGATAGTCATGAAAGATCTGGCAGAGTCTAGACCTGAATATTATATACACTATGACATTATATATAGTATGTATGAGCAATATTATAAGCAGTGTCAAATGGAAAGTTAGAACATGCTAAATTATAAAAAGAACTTAGAGAAATGCTAAAAGATGATTGATATTAAATAGCACATCGTTTCAGAAATTTCTAAATTCTACATAATCAGGTAAATAATATATCAATTTATCCCCTTTATGAAAACCTTTACAATGCCGTTCAAAAACAGCTGATGAAACAATGACAGTCATGAAATGGCCTCCACAGAGTTCAGACCTGAATATTATATACACTATGACATTTTATATAAGATGTATAGGTAATATTATAAGCAGTTTCGCCTGGAGAGAAAAATAAAGTTAGAACATGCTAAATCTGAGGAAGAACTCTTAGAAATGCTAAAAGATGACTGTTAGCAAATGGTGCCTCATTTCAGAAACGACTCAACAAAAAGTTAAAGTGTTAAAGAGGGCATGTTAAACAGACTTTTGATGCTATTTTTTTAAAAGACAAGGGGAGAAGTATAAATCTATTTTTACTTTATAGAGAAGACACTTAAAGCACATAATTATTTGCAAATATGTTTTTGTATTGCACGATTTTCTTTAAATGTTATGCTTGAAATAAATATGTAAATGAAGCATCTTTAGTTAACAATGAGCCAAGTTGCAAAAATTTCTAGCACAAATATCTGACCAGTGGATAAAAGTCAGGTTCGAAATTGTATGTTGACACTTTTTAATGAGAGATATTTTGGGACTTTTTATTACTCTGTAATTAAAAATGTATATATAATCAGTGAAATAATGTATCAACATATTTCCTTACAATGCAGTTTAAAAACAGCTGATGAAACAAAGACAGTCATGAAATGGCCTCCACAGAGTCTAGACCTGAATATCATATACACTATGACATTATATATAGTATGTAAAGGTAATATTATAAGCAGTTTTACTTGGAGAGAAAGTTAGAACATGCTAAATCTAAAGAAGAACTTAGAGAAATGCTGAAAGATGATTGATATTAAATGGCATATCGTTTCAGAAAAGATTCAGCAAAAAAAGTTCAAGCTATTGCTTTGTGCTAAAGAGGTCATGTTAAACAGACTTTTGATGCTCTTTGTTAAAAGACATGGGGAGGAGTATAAATCTTTTTTTACTTTTTAGGTAAGACGCTGCAGGTGAACGATGAAAATGTAACTAATAGTTAATCTTTTCTTGTCGATTAGGTACATTAATAATTGCAAATATGTTTTTGCAGTACAAGGTTTTTTAAATATTATGTTTAAATATGTAACTGAGGTATCTTTAGTTAAAAATGAGCCAATTTGCATAAATTTCTTGCAAAAATATCTGACCAGTGGATGAAGTCAGGCTTCGACAGCGGTAAATCAAATTTATTTTGGGAGTTTTTATTACAAAATGTATATATAATCAGGGAAATAATATATCAACATATTCAATTTATGTAAAACTTTACAATGCAGAAAAAACTAAGCCTTTAAAATAAGTCTTTTATTTGTAATATGAAGGTACACATTAATAAATTGTAACAAAGAAATACTATATACACTGAATTAAAAATGTCTATTTATGCAAAGCCAAAAAACTTAAGTGAAGAAAAAGTGTCTCACCTTAAGATTGGCAGTGTTTTACATTTTTTGTTCTTGTTGCTGAACCAAAAACAAAAATGTAATTCATAATTTATAATGCTCCGAGCACACTCGCTTGTTAATTTTTGATTAAGCCAATGGCGCCTGCAAGAGTTGTGATGATTATATATTCATTAACAGCAAACAAGTGCTGTTAAAATGCTAACCATTTAAATGCTTCCTTGAACAACGTGTAAATTAGAGTAATTAGGTTGTATAATTGGCGGAGCATCAGTTTGGTGTTTGAAATGAACTTGTCTAATGAAGCCCTCTGACGTGTTGCCTTCATATTTTAGCATAAAAGATACTACTGAAGGAGCTAAGGTTTTGCATGAATTGCGAATCAATTGCAGCTATGGGAAAGATGCATCGAAGAATACACATTTTTCTACACCTATTTTTAATGTATTAAATATTTATAATGTTTTCTACATTTACAATATGATTTATTCATATATGTATGGCATGCAGGTTCCACATGAACTGCAATAAAACATTTTTTTACATATATTCATTTAAAATATTTTTATATTTAAAATATTCTAATATTATATTCTATATTGTACTGTTTATACAATAGTGTGCGTGTGTGTGTGTGTGTATATACATATATATATATATATTAGGCCCCATGAATTATTAGCCTCCCTGTTTATTTTTACCCCCAATTTTTTTCAACACAAGAGTTTTTTCAACACATTTCTAAACATAATATTTTTAATAACTCATTTCTAATAACTGATTTGTTTTATCTTTGCCATGATGACAGTGAATAATATTTTACTAGATATTTTTCAAGACACTTTTATACAGCTTGAAGTGACATTTAAAGGCTAATTAAGCAGGATAGGGTAATTAGTCAAGTTATTGTATAACAATGTTTTGTTCTGTTGACTATAGTAAAAAAACAATATCGCTTAAAGTGGCTAATAATTTTGACCTTAAAATGTTTTTTAAAAAATTAAAAACTGCTTTTATTCTTGCCGAAATAAAGCAGTTAAGACTTTCTCCAGAAAAAAATATCATCAAATCAGACATACTGTGAAAATTACCTAGCTTTGTTAAACATCATTTAAGAAATATTTTAAAAAGAAAAACATTTTATTAAAAACTAACTTAAACTTGAACAAAGTTGTATTAAAATAAAACAAAATTGCATTTTATAATATTTTTATATTTACCTTAAAATATTCCAATTTTCTAAGGTTTGTTTTTGTTGTATTAGCTTTAGAAAAAAATATCTATCTCTATTTATCTACACTCTAAAAAAAAGTTGCCTTAAAATTTTAAAGCATCAAACTTCAAGACCTTTTTTCGTTTACTCAAATTAAATTGAGTCAAGTGGAGTAATTGGGTTGATCTATCTATCTATCTATCTATCTATCTATCTATCTATCTATCTATCTGTCTATCTGTCTGTCTGTCTGTCTGTCTGTCTGTCTGTCTGTCTGTCTGTCTGTCTGTCTGTCTGTCTGTCTGTCTGTCTGTCTGCAACCTTACACCAGGAAACACCCAGAACATGCAAACTCCCCACAGAAATGCCAACTGACCCAGCCAGGGCTCGAACCAGTGACCTTCATGCAATGAAGCGATCGTGCTACCCTCTGCGCCACCGTGCTGCCTCTATCTATCTATCTATCTATCTATCTATCTATCTATCTATCTATCTATCTATCTATCTATCTATCTATCTGTCTGTCTGTCTGTCTGTCTGTCTGTCTGTCTGTCTGTCTGTCTGTCTGTCTGTCTGTCTGTCTGTCTGTCTGTCTGTCTGTCTGTCTGTCTGTCTGTCTATCTATCTATCTATCTATCTATCTATCGTCTGTCTGTCTGTCTGTTCTATCTATCCATCCATCCATTTTGCTTGCTTTCATTTACAAATCTGTCCATAGTTTTAATCTAAAAAAAACTACTTTTTCTGTAAAAATAACTTAAAAGTAAGGTACTAAAATTGTTTATTATGAATTCAAAAAAGTTAGTGTTTATATTTCTATTAATAATTGTTATTTTAGTTATGACTGGATTAAGTAAAACTAAATAAAATAAGAAATATTATAAAAAATGGATTAACACAATAAGTACTACAAGTATGTTAAATATTTAAAAAAATAGATATATATTTATTTCTAAAAAAAGGCTTTAATTTCAATGGTTTTAGTAATACGATATATAAAAATGACCCTGATGTTTTTTATTTACAAAATTTTATGTTTTTTGTTCATATAGATTTCTCCCCCTCAGGATGCCCCACGGGTTGCCCTGCAGCAGTATAACATTTTATGCAGGTTTTAACCCAAATGACAAGCGAAACCTACAAGTTTGATCTCAGCATCGGGATATTACCACTGAAGGTAAGGTTGGTGTGTTTCCATGGTGCTCTGAAATCTGCACTCCAGAATCACTCATGCACTTACACGCATCCTGCACCCCCAACATCTCATGTAAGACTCCTTCATCATTCCTGATATCCCAGTAAAATACCCAATGCCATCTGTTCAGCATAATGAATATTTTAGGTTTGTGGAAGTCATATTATATTCATGCAGCTCCACTGCAACTGAAGGCTGAGATTATCGGGGAAGTAGGCGCAGTTTCGCAATTTCTTCATCTTTTGCTCCCTCAAAAGAGCAACCAGAAGCCAAAGTAAATGCATCTCCGGACGAATAAGAGTGTGAATCACGTCGTACCTGTAGGATCTCTTGATGTCATCATGGGTGCAGTTCTTGTCAAGGCCCAGAACTTGGTAAAGAGCCTCCCCTGATGTGGACAGGGCCCGTTGCCTTTGTTCAGCCATGATCCTAAACCATTACCTTCACATCAAAAGAACAAGCAAACCGTCAGTAAACTGGATAAGACAGTGGGTCAGGTCAGGCTGTCCTGTGTGCTGAACAAGATACAAACGTTTTGTTTGAGACTCGCAACGTCACTCTTTCCATCAACCAAGAGTTTGTGTTTACATTCATTTACAAGCATCTATTTGTAAGAAATTACATTAAGGTTATTGAGAAAGATAACAATAACGCACAAGAGGTTTTCAGATATATTTGTAGAAATATACTTTCAAAATACACCAAAAATGGCCAAAAAATACACATATTTGAAAAATGTATTTATATAAATTTATTTTCAAAAATTTATTTTTTGTTTAGTTTAAAAATAAGTATTTAAAAGCATTTATTTTTTAAAAGAAAATGTTTGTTTGATGTCTAAAGCATTTAAAAGCAAGGAACATCCTTTTTAGAATTGAATTCTTCCATTTTATTAGTATTATTTTTAAATAAGGCATACTATAGATATCATCCACATTTTACTGTGAAAATGGTTGGAAATGTATTTACTTGGCCCTAAAATTAATGTTTAAAATATACATTGGTATATAAAGGTTGAGATGAAATATATTTTCGATTTCCAAAACAGCCTCACAGTTACAAAATATATTTAGCATATTAAGCCATATTTCTTTCTTCTTCTTTTTTTCTTACCCATATGGGTTTAATAACCTCCAACCCCCAATGTTGAATATTTCCACCATCCATAATGAGCCTTCATTGAATATTAAACACTTCTAAAATATTACACTGCCTTTATACTTCTGTTGAGCTTTACTTGTTAAAAAGTAATTCATAAGCAATATATGAGAGAAATGCTGCTGTAAATCCATCCGAAAATCATTAATGTACTTACCTGTTGACAGTTTCCAAACTCGAGTGCTTCTTCAGGGCAGGTAGACAGGCTAATGGAGTCGGGTTGCTTCTCTGAAGGTGAGTAGATTACTGAGGAGATGAATTATATATGGAACTAGTCATGAGCTCAGGTAACTTCAGACCAGTTTAACATGGTTACCAAAAAGGTTCATTAGGTTTCAGTTCCCGGTATTTGAGCAACACTTTGATGGAATATTTGTGTGGGTTTTTTGTGAGGATGTTATTTTACTGACTTTTGAGTCTGCATGACAACTGGAAGATTAAATGTTTGGTTTTCGTGCTATCAGACTACTTGTAATCTTGCATTGTGTACGTGCAAGAATGGTTTTGTTTTGGTATTTTCCTTACCGATGCAAGGCCGCCATCTTGTGGTGTGTTTGTGGCATTGACGTTTTTATTGGCGTTTTGTGATGGATGTAGCGAATTACTAATGTATGCTCATTCATTCATTTTCCTTCGGCTTAATTCCTGATTTATCAGGTGTTGCCACAGCGGAATAAACCGCCAACTACTGTGGCATATGTTTGCACAGCGGATACCTTTCCAGCTGCAAACCAGTAGTGGGAAACGCAAATGTATAATAATAAACGAACTAATTATTACAATATTACAATTTTATTAGTATTGTCTCATAAAAACTATTGTTTTAGTTTGACAGAATAATAATAATAATAGTTCACAACTAGCTTTATGTCTTTCTAATTTGGTATATGACCATTTATTTTGAGTATTGCAAAATTGATTGGACAATTTTTTTTTAAACAATATAATGTTAATTTATAAATTGATAACATGTTTTAATCCACACATTTTTTGGCATCACAAATAGAGCTAGGATATTTTAAAAGTATGTTATTTCAGTCAATTTGATTTCACTGATATTCTAAAAATTATTGCAACACTATATGATCATCCTCAAGCAAGGGCTCACTATTTTAAAATACTATACAAAGCCAGCTACATATTTCTATTAATAAAACCCAATTTAATTAGTACAAAATGTTTAAAAGTATTTTCAATTTTTTTTCATTTACAAATTTAAAATTGAGTTTATATTATATTAGATTTTCTACTTGTTACAGTGCTGTTATCATTTATTTATTAATTGTCATTATTATCATCATCATATTCTTATTATTTAGGCTTCCTTTTCTCTTAAAGTTGTCATGCATAAAGACCAAATTTGTTCAGTAAAACTTTTACATTATGGATATTACAGCATTTTGTATACTCGCCACCTAATTATGCTATATTATTTATTATTAGCTTATATGCTTAATAAATGTATTTATATAAATATGTTTTAATTATTATTTTCTCATAATATTTTAACACTTTTTTTAATTATAAAGACCCATTTAGATATGTAAAAATTATATTGTAAACATTTGAAAGGGTAGCTATAAGTAGTTTTTATTTTAGGCTATTTCTTTCTTTTCTATAGTTTACACCTGCTAGATCAGTGTTTCCCAACCCTGTTCCTGCACACCAACAGCATGCATTTTCAACCTCTCCCTAATCAAACCCAACTTAATCAACCCATAACATAAGAAGAAACTCCAAAACCTGAAGTTAATGTGTCAAATAAGGTGAGCCATCCGAAATGTGTACTGTTGGTGTGTCTTGTTGAGAAACACTGTGCTAGATGAATTCAAAACTGTTATTAAATCATGAATAGTTTTTTTTATTCAATATATTTATTTATTTATTTATTTTAATCAAATTTATTTAATTTCTTAATGTTTTACTCCATTTACTACACATTTTTGCTGACCCTTTAGCACTCTCTTGTGGCTTCTCGAGGGGTTATTTTCAATTTGAAAAAGAAAAAAAAAACTACCACTAAACTTCCATCGCCACGAGATGGCAACTGAGCACAGATTTTATTCTACCAGCAGCAAACAGAAAAAGTTGTGTGTATATATAATTGTTTTTTTATTATATTTTTCAGTCTGTAACACTCTTTTTCACACTACTAATACAAATAAACACATATTTACAATTCCTAAATTCATTTAAAACATACATCGAATTTTCATGGTCAAAAAAGTCAAACCTAGTCGCCCTCTAAAACTGCAGGCAGCAGTCAAAACAAAGTTTAAGTCACCAGTGGGCTGACTGACGTCAAGCGGCAGTATCAATTGTCAACGCGCCCCTTGTTTATGGTCTCCTGTTGACTTCTGCATAGCACAGGTCATATTGCAAGTGGATACATGGAGTCTCGAGGGGAATTAGCAGGTGTGCAGCTCACCACCCCTCATCACTGTCTCCTCGGGAGGCCATTCCTGCGAAGCACGTCTGCCTGGGGAACGGCATTTATGGCAAACTAAGCCTCAGAAACAACCCATTAATGAAATGATTGCCCCTCAGTCAGGAAATGTGAGACTCCCAAATGAGCAGCACGCAGGGCCACCGGTAGTGGACGGGAAGCAGTCCTTGACACTGATTAAATGCTATTGTAAAAGTAAATGAATGAACAGATCCGTTAATAACTACACAGGCCGATGCAGGCATGCTGCCAGACGTCTTATCTTGTTATGCGTGTTGTGTTTGCTTTCTGTGTTTAGTTCCAGTGCTTAATTCTTAGCATCTACATGTAGTTTAGAAGGGCGAAGGATGGAGCTGTTTTATGCACTTTTAATACTCTTAAAATATGGTTGAAGCCATTCTTAAATTAATAGTAAATTTTACAAATAAGTAAAAAAAAGCAACTAACTTGGATTTTTAAACAACTTTGCCCACTTTTTTAAAAAATAAAATACTGGTTTAACTACTTGTTAACATAAGTATCTGATCATCAAATCACGTTGCAGTAATATGAAGGGTTAGTTCACCCCCAAAAAATTACTTTTGTTATTAATTACTCATTCTTCTGTTGTTCCAAACTCCTGTACCTGAGAAATTTGTTCATCTTCGGAGCCCAAATGGGGTATATGCACATATATTTAGATTTTTAGGTGCGAATGTGGTTAAGACAGTCTTTTGAAATTTATTCTGAGCATCATGAATGGAGAAGAAAGGTGATTTAAGTGGATTTTGTTGTTGTTTCCAGGTGGGCTGGTATAAGTATTCTCTAGAGTTTACAGAAGAGATTGCTGAAAAAGAGAAAATATACTGTGAGTGGCATTTCTGTGGGGGAAAATGTGAGATGAGTTTGACTGCAGACCGGGTGCACATGCAAGCTGAGACTGCTACTAGGAACGGAGCAAGCTGAACTGCCACTCTAGGCAAAGGACGATCATAACGCCCTCAACCCGAAAGTGAAAACAAAAGTGACCGGTTATCAAAGTAAAGAGGGGAGGGGGGATAGAACTGAGGACGCGGTTGGTGAGGAAGGTGTCGTGGACGCCACCCTCTCTATTCTGCCACCCTAGTTCGCCTCTATGGATGCGCCGGCCCTAAAGTAGGAAGTTTCCGGAACTACATAATATCATTACTATCATTCAGGTACACTTACTTAAAAATACTAATGATTTTTTATTTGGCCCACTTCACAATTCATACATTACTGTCTGGCTAGTTTGTGTTTTCTATTTATATGCTAAAAAGGCAATAATTGTCCAACATTCCTAACCATTATCACCAGTAAAGCCTTGGAAAACATGGCATCAGTATATTGGAAATCGGTAGGTTCAAATATTATTTTCCAGATATCTAAGAAATAATTTATTTCATTTTAGTTTTGTAACTATTAAATTGTTTTAAATTCTAAAGTGTTATTTTTACATCAGTGTAAAACTTATGAATGGTAGAAAACATTCTGTAATTGTTTATTTAAACTACACCGGTCTCCATTTTTGCCATGGCCTCTCTTTTTGGTTTTAACAAACTTATCCCTCACGTTTTTCCTAAGATTTAAACAAAACTTTTCCTCCTTTTCCACTGCTGTTGCAATTTCTAGCCAAGACTAACTGGCCATCTGGTTACGCCTATGATCATTCATGGACGGGTCATAAAGATGTCTGTACAGGCTTTCAAACTACATTTCTTCAAATTGATTCATATTCAACTGAAATCAAATGTGGCACTACATGAACTGTTCGTTTGAGTCTCAAAATTTTTTGTAAGAAATCATATCGCACACACCCAAAGCGAACCTCCACAACCAACACGTCGCCGCTCGTACTCAATCGAACAAGCAGAACCATCAAGTATAAATCAGCCTTCACATCACTAGCTTTGAGTGCATGTGTCTGAGACTGTTTGTTTCCGCTTACATGTGCAGGTCTGCAGCCAGATTTCCATTGTTTATCGGGGTTCGACACAGTGGAATGAACCGCCAACTATACCAGCATATGCTTTACGCAGTGGATGCCCTTCCAGCCACAACACAGTACTGAGAAACACCCGTACACTCTTGCATTCACACACACTCATACACTACAGCCAATTTTGCTTACCCAATTCACTTACATTGCATTTCTTTAGACTGTGAGGGAAATCTGAGTACCCAGAGGGAACCCATGCCAACACAGGGAGAACATGCAAACTCCACACAGAAATGCCAACTGACCCAGCTAGGACAAGGTATTCGAACCAGCAACCGTCTTGCTGTGAGGCTACAGTGCTAATTACTGAGCCGCTGTTCTCCCATGCAGCCAGATACTATTGGAAAATGTCTTGTTATTCCTGAGTGCCAAACTGGTGTGGTCTGATAGAAAGACAACAGTAACTCAAACTAAAATTGTTACAACTGAGGTCAACAAAAGATCATCTTTAACCACACAATACATCTAAACTTGAAGCTTAGGAGCTCCAGCACCAGATAAGCACACCAGTGTTACTCCTGTCAGTGAACAAAACTACAATTCAGATATGCTCAGCTGTGAAGATTGAAAACAGGTTTGCTTGCCTGATGACCTTCTGTATCTGCTGCACCATTGAATAGGTGGGTCAGAATTTGCCAAAAGAACATGAAAGGATGGTTCTATTCTGTCAGTGGTGTAATAGTGTTGGGATTATTTTCTTGACTCACTTTGAACCTCTTAGTACCAGCTGTGTATTGTGAATACACGGTTGCATAAATTGGAGGTTGTTGAGAGCTTTATTGAAGTATGTTTATGTACTTCAAATTGCAATAGAATATTGATTAGGAGCAGGTCTTTCTTTTTGCACATAATTTTCTTGTAGCAAAATAATGGTAAGAGGTGTGTGGTCAAAAGTATTATGGCTGAAGCCACCAAACTGATGACAACAAAAGAAGCGCAACTCCAAACACAGAAGCAAATGGTCAGACTGAACTACTCTTTAAGTAGTGTTTGTCGCTCAACTTAAAAACATTTGCTGAACCAGTGTTTTTTAAATTGAACCATACTACATTCAAGCAGGGGGCGGAATATGAACCATTAAGTTGGTTTGCCGACTGTCAGTTAAACAGCAGAAGTCAGGCACACAGGGGCGTCTTAAATTGCATACTTCCCTACAATATACTATATAGTATATAGAAAAACAGTATATGAGCGGAGTATTATGCACGCATTAATAG